TATGAATTATTATTGTTAACATATGTCAATATATGAACAGTTGTATATACAATGTATGTCATTTATATGAAAAGTAATATTATTCAATAAAAAAACATTTTATAACAATGTAATGCCTCAAAAACACAGATTTAACATTACGACATCATTGTTTTTGTACGGGATAATTTGAACAAGTCTTCCTATTGTGTCCAACCTAATGGCATCTACTGCATGTGCTTTTTGTCTTCTTGAATTTCACATCTGCGAACCCCTTCCTCCGTTCAAGTTTGGGTCTTTCTGCTGCTCTTTTTGGACCAGGCGGCATCAATTTAGGATATGAAATATAACTTGGTATATCCCATGTACGCTCGACAGGAATGGCATAAGCATCTTTGAAATTCTTGAGGCTATAAAAAGCAGAACATATGCAATATAACATGGGAATTTAACATATGCAATACAACATGCAATTTAACATATGCAATATAACATGGAAAAAATACGACACATTAATAAAATATTAAAAAAAACTAACTTGATGAATTCCATTTGCCACCATGTTTAATTAAAATTGACACAATTTTCTCCATCAAATCAAATCTAAACTTTTTCAACCTTCAATTTTAGTTGTTTTTCCAAAAAAAAACGATAAAATATGACAGAATTCGAATATATGAATATAGTTCAATTTCTGGAAAAAAAATGATACACGTTTATGGAAAGAAAGATAACAGAATACAATTTTTTAAGGATAAAAAATCAAAAATAATTACCATTAAAACGGATATCTATAATTAATATATTTTAAAATCCCTTAAAAGGTGTACATTTTGTTATCAGTTAATAACAGTAACTACATTCAAGGAAATTATTCAATTTTAATTATTCATTTTTTAATTTTATTTTTCGTCCTATTTAGAATAAATATTTACAATATTTTAATTTAAAGAAATGCTATAAGTTGATATATTAAATGTTATAGAATGAAAATCAAACTCTTATGCCATAACTTGAGAATATGACTACATAATATGTTATATACCTAATTTACACATTCAAGTTTGGTGCTAAATCAAAAAATTTCCCAAATTAGGAATCCAACTAAAGCCCAAATATGATGGGCCTATAAATAAGCGACTCTCATCTCATTGCCCTCTCTCTGTTTCCAATGGGCTTTTAAGATCAAGATTTTGCATGGATGGCCTTTATTCTGGGGTGGCCTTTAAATTATTTTTCTATTCTTCATTTAATAATAAATAAAAAAATGACAGAAATATCACATTTAAGTTTTCTTATTACCATTATTTCATATTAGTTTTATAAATTCCTAAAATTCTTTATTTTCATGCATCTAATTAATGTATCAACGCATCAAATTAATGTATTTTGCGCATCAGATTAATTCATTTTGCGCATCAGATTAGTGTATCATGTATAAAATGTACATCAGATTAGTGTATCATGTTTAAAATTTAATGTATCTTATTTAATGATTAATGTATCTTGTGAATCAGAATAATGTATCAGGCTTATATTATTATATCAGTTTGAGAGATTTCTGTAATTATAAACTTATAAGAGACAAATGGTAATTTATCATAAAAGTATGTGATTTTTGTCATTTGCAAAAATTGTGGGTCAAAGTATTTTTAATTATAACCTAATTTTACTCAACATAAGTTTAAAAAATTTTTGCACGACAAAATTTTTGTAGGAATTAAGTAATTCACCGTCATAGATTGTATAGTATTTAATTCACCAGATAAAAAATAGTATGTGTAACTCATATCTCTAACGACATAACTTATGAGTTTTAAAATTTCTTTTTTTCTCTCTCTTTAAGTATAAGTTCCGAAAAAATAAAGATACGCAATACCTGGTAGATTTTGAACTAAATTTTTACGGTGATCAACATAAGTTATAAATTTGTATCTCTGCAAGAAGGGAAAATATCAATAGATTGTTAATAGATCTATAAGGTAAAATACAAATAAGTAGCATATATATACATCAAATAAATGAGTAATTATTTTCTACGAGATAACTTGTGTATTGAGATTTACCTGAAATTATCATATAGTTCAAACAGAGTGAATTTGATCATTAATTGTTTATTGAGAAAGCATCAACTTGAATAGTTATTATGGTTATCTATACCGATGACATGCTCGTTACAAGAGAAGCTCGAAGCAATTGAAGAAACGAAAAGAAATTGAAATAAGAATTTAAAATGAAAGATCTAGGGCTGCGCGTATATCAAATTATTTTTTAATATCGCTTCGCGTATAACGTTTTTCAAAAAAAAAAAGTTAAATGGAAATCGCTGCCCTTAAAAAAATTTGATCTTCTTCTCTTTGCAGCAAGCCAATAATAGAAGCAGGGCTGCTCTATAAATTTTTTTTTGACAAATCGTTTTCATAGCAGCGATTTTAAGGAATTTCTTTTTTTTTGAAGAAATCGCTGACACAACAGTGATTTTTATATTTTTTAAAACACATTAACACGTTAATTTTGTCAGGAGCAATTTGTCCTTTTGGTTAAAAAATATATTAATATATTTTTTTGAAATTTTTTTACCCTTTTAACTTCGAACTCTAATTTTGATATGAAATTATTAAAGTATACATAATTTAAGAAGGGTTTTTAATATAATATCCCCAAGTAGACAAAACATGTGAATTTTGTTGGACTTGAATCCAAAAATAGTAATGAAGAATATAAAACAAAGATGAAGAGACACTACTCTACAATAAGACACACATTTTCCTCATAAAGTCAAGTGCTTACTTTATCATTTTCCCAAAAAATAGTAAGGATAATTAAAGTTGCTTTTTTCAGTTCCTTTTAACGGGAAAAAAGGGAAAGAAAAAAAGAGAGACATGTTATCACTAATTATCATGTCTACTATGTTGCTAACAAAGAGAATTGTAAAAAATAATTTTAAAAAAGAATTATGTATTAAGCACTATATAAAATAATGGATTTATTCAAGATTGTGTGTTATCATGAATAATTCAAAGAATCATTCTTGACAACGAGCAACAACTCCGAAAGTACTAAATATTAATTAATAACTTACGAGACTGAATAATTTTTAATTTATAAATATAAATATAAGAAAAAATAATTTATGATTCCATAATAGAAATGTTGTTAAATTAAATTCAAGAAATTGACTCACATATCAAAAGCTAACTCAGATAAAAAATAATTATAAAAACCTTATAAGGAGTCCACACATCTTATTAGCCATCAATATAAGACTAAATATGCTTAACAATGAACATAACATTTTGAAATTTTTTGCCAGTTATCATGATTTATCTTGACAATCATAAGAGAGTTGGTGTGCTTTCAATTTTTGTCCTAGAGGCTATTTTTCCAAGAATTTGTTTTTTACATGTAAGATCAAAATTTAAATGATATTAATTAAAAAAAATTTAAAAGCTCAACTCGAAACTTCTGATTATTAATTGAGGGTGAAAAAATACTTAAAAGAGTAATTAAAGAAAATGAAAAGATAGTGGGCTTGTCAACAATACAAGATAAGATTTGATGGAGACTTTTAGGAAAAAGTTTGATAATAGGCATTTGGCATGACCATGTGTTAGGGAATTCTCCCTTTCGGCCACAAAGTTATTTGAAAGAGAAATGAAAAACATTACCAATAAATCCGAGTTGCAATGAAATAGTTGAATTCCATTATATTTAATCAAATATTAGCTTTAGATATAAAAAAAATCTTGTTAAAAATATTTTATCAAAAAATAAATTTTATGATACGTAAATTTAAATTAATTAGACTTCAATATAAATATCAGATAAAATTCTCTTATAAAAAAAATCAAAGGAAATAAATAGACAAAGTCTTTGAGAGGAAACAAAACAAAGACTGATTCTAAATTCTTTTTTTAATGGGTGGAAAATTTCATCCTATTTCTTGAAGGATATATATATATATATATAAAAGAACATGTCATCGATGATTACAAGTTTTTGTTTCGAATTTTAAGTATGAAAGAAAATATGTGAAGCATTTTCTTTTCTTTAAGTAAGCTCTAAGCAATATGATAAATTGTGTCAAATCTTTTTCTTGTTTCACATTTTGGTCTTATTATATTTTAACTTATTTTATCACTTACTTGCCTTTTCTTATACAATTCTTTTGTATCTTGCTTTTTTTTATTAATAATAGTATAAATTATTTAGATTGTTGATGAATGGTATTATAATTTATATACTGATGAAACAAAATATAATATATTTAAATAGTATAATTATCTAACATATATTATACAACAATATATTATAATTTATACATCAATCATTTAAACAAGTCACTAACAAAAACAAAGACAAACTAAAATTCACTTTTTTTCACCTTTTAGAAAAAAATTCGTCTCAGGGGAAAGAGGGGGAACTAAAGAAAAAGGAACATAATCAAAATGAACAAGAAAATAATATAAAATGAAAAAATGTTATACTTTCTTTCTCTATTTATGGGACATATTTCAAATTTTGAGATTTAAATAAATTTATATTTGATCGTGAATTTTTAATTTATCTTTTAAATATTTTGAATTGACAATTATGATGACTTATAATACTTTTCACACAATTTACAAATATATAAAATTTATTTTTAAAAATGCTCATGTACAAATTTCATATATATCACATAAATTTAAATTTAGATGGAAGAAATTAGTTATTTTGATTTATTTCAACTCTTTCTTTAATTACTTTTTGAGAGTCTTTTAAAAGTTGAATACAATATGAACAACGTATACCAAAAATTGTAATTAGCTAAATATAGGTACACTTCAAAAGAACAAGTAACCCACTAACAAGGACGGAGTTACTTTACAATTCGATGAAAAATTATACTATTTATACATGGTTAATATAATTTTATATGTATATATAATAAATGTCGAACCCCCTTCGGCTACTTCATGTATCTATTTCTACAGATTTTGAACCCCTTTATTGAAAATCTTGGCTCCGCCTCTGCGGCCACTAAGGTTTCGTGTGATACTTGATAATCTTTATATGGTTTGCTTACAATATCGTAAGTTTAAATAAGCTCTTTGAAGCTTAGATCGCTTAGATCAAATAAGTTATTTGAAACTTAGATCGCTAAGATATTCAAGAAATTAGACAAAGAGAGCTTTAAACAAGGCATTTTGTATTGCATGGAGAATGTTTTACACTTGATTGGTTCTTGCTTTATTACCTTTACAAACGAGAGTCTCTCTATTTATACTATAATCACAGGGATTCAAGTGCAAATAAAAATTATTACACAAGTTACTCTGTAACACTTCGAAAATCTAAGAAGTTTTCTAGAGCTTAACATAAGTGTCTTAAGGTTTAGACACTGTTTTAAAGTCTATTTTAATGAATATAGGTCATCTAGGAAGTCTAGAAATCAAAACGTCCAAGAACGTCCATCACGTACGAAAACTAGTTGAATGAGGTGCTAGTGTGCCTTACCCTATTTGACTAGCTTTTAGGAGTCGGAAAATGATGAAAAATAATGAAAGGGTGTATAACACGTATTAGAGTTAGTTCATAGTCGAAACGTCTGGGCACGACTCCCCAAAGACCAATCAAGGGTTTTTGAGGAGGACCCTTGCATTTAGGGGTCAAAGAATTGCCCAAGGCAGTGTGCGCAGACGAATGCCATTGACGGGGCGTCGATGGTCACTTAGCCAAAATCTTGGAAGAGTCATTTTGCATGGTCTTTAAGCAAAACGATGGACCAATAGGATGAAGGGTCTTGTGGCCGTCGTCTCACAGACGAACCGCCGGTCGAGGTCTCGTCTGTGAGGGGGCTGTTTTGCTGCACGTTTTGAATTAAGTCATTTAATTAGTTGTCTTAGTTAGGAGGTTAATTAGGGGTTAGGGGAGGTCTAATTAAGTTAGTTAACCACCTATACAAAGCCCTAAGCAAATTAGACTAACCTAAGCTCTCATAATTTCCCAAACACAAAACTCTCTTCCTTCTCCCTCCCAAAGAAACTTCATCGAAGACCAAGCTAGAGGTGGGTTCAAGGGATTCAAAGGGTCAAGTTTGTCCATCAATCTTTATCAATTAGTAAGGTGTGTGATTCCTTTAACCTTTGAGTCCTCTTTCCTCAAAGGGTTCCATCAAATTGATTTCAAAAGTTGGGGTTTTCAAGTGGGTTTTCATCTAATACGAAATTGATGTTGTGAATTGATTTGTTTATGATTCCTTTTAGATATCAGGAATAGATTAATATGTATTTTAACTCAATTATTTTATATCTTGATGAATTGGTCTAGTTTGTAGAATTCCCATTAACCCTAGGTTGTGATCTTGATATGAATTGTATAATGTTGGTTCAATTAAATTGGTTATTGGTTGAATTACTACTATATGGTGTTATTGTATCAATTATGAATATATTAAGATGAATTTGAGTCCTATCATGCTAGTTCTTGAGTAATTGATATAGGTTATGAATTGTATTATGGATTTGACCTAAGTCTATTGTCTTAAACTATGAACTAGTAATGAATTATGATGTAGTAATTCGATTGGATTTATTATCATGTTGGTTAGGGATATGTGATGATACTATACCCTTGTTGGGTTGAGATAAGGGTTTATGGTAGGACCTTGATGATGAATTATGAAGAAGACTTGGTAAGTCTTATGATCTCAACTCTTTACTTCAATTATGACTACTTGTGGTTTAGTGATGATGTTGTATTGAAGTATGTCTTGTATTAGGATTGATAGGGTTGGTATGATGTTGAATTGAAATGTCTTGACTGTGAATTGTGAGGTGTTGGCTAAGATGTAAATATATTAAAGATGGTGATGATTTATCAATGTGTCTTATCATGATATGAAAATGTTATTATGCTAACTTCACCTATATGAATTGTAATGAAAGGGCAATACTCATGCAATTCTTATTGGGCTATGATGATGATGTCTATACAAGGGATTAGACCCTATGACCTACACTAAGCTATGATAATTAGTAAAGGTATTAAAGACATTTCAAAAGACACTCTAGCTTAGCACCGAGTTAACTATAGTGAAGAGTGTCCGTTCTCACATAGGGAAGGTAGGATCACTATTGTACTCTTGAGATTGGAGATCATAATGCATGTAGCATGAAGAGGATCCCAACTATATCTCCTAATTCTTGAACTATGTTGCCCCCATAAGAATACTAGCTAGTGGATCCATGTAGTTGCTATGTTCATGTTTTGGTACTACCTTGGCAAGTAGTCCGCCTTCTTTTGGTGTAGGGTTTCATGGCACCGACTTCCACCCAAGCTCATGTGGTCTATGTCGATTAAGGCAAGATGTTCTTAAAAAGTAAAATGAACTAAAGGAATGAACTCTAACTAAGATGACCTAAGAGGTTTAACTTAGTCTTGGTAGGGGTATGAGACTCTACCTATACATTGCACTAGTTAGCCTTAAGAGAAGTTTTAAGAG